TCTATCACTGACTCTTGTCGTACTAAACGGCATTGCTCTCTTGGAAATTCCGATCATGCAGTTGTGTCAGTAAACATCTTTCGTTCCCCCACCAGCGCAGTACCTCCTACCAATAGAATATATTCCTGTTACCAACGAACAGACTGGAACTCGTTCCGTGATGTCATTCGTGATGTACCTTGGAATGAAGTCTTTAACAATTCTGTTCATAAATGCACGTCTGAGGCCTCTTCCTGGGTGAAAGCCGGCATTGACGCTTTCATTCCAGCAAGAAAATACCAAACTAAACCGCGTTCATCTCCATGAGTCTCACCTGCATACTAGTCCACGGGAAACATTTCATCTAGCTTTACCAGAGCTTCACGTTTTATTATATCAAACGTCTCTTTGTCTCTGCTCGTAACGAGCAAAAACCTGTTCTCAAAAAAGCGAAACTGCTGTGTGCTAATAGAATGAAACAACATATATCATCTAGCAATTTCCGTTCTAGAAATTTTTGGCATTTCTGCAGGGTGATGAAAACTGCAGATTCTAAATCGCTCCTCTAATCAATCGGTTCGAATTTCTGATATCTACAGCAGATAAGGTTGAATGCTTTGCTCGAAAATTCCCTTACAATTCTATCCACGGCTGATTTGGATTACCCACACCTGATTTCCCCAGTAGGGCAGTGATCCTACTGAGTGATATGCACATAAAACCGTCAATGGTGATGCACATCATTTCTAAATTAGACTCCCCTAAGGTGAGTGGAGGTTACGGATCCCAGCCGTACTTTTAAATAACTATTTCCAAGTTGCTTCATGCTTTCCAGCATTTTGGAAGTCCTCTGTAATTCCAGTTTTTAAGAATGTTGTGAGACCGTAACATACCTACAACATGGACTCTTCCAGGACTATATAAAGTATGCGATATAACACTCTAGGAGAAGAGGAGGAAAGAGAAAGAGAGAGAGTATTCTAATACCGTAGTATCAGCCGCGTACGACTACCAATATTGGACACTAGCACATAGTAAGCTCCGCTTAGACTTACACTATCTTTGTAACCTTTTTGTTTAATATATCTTTCTTACCTCTAATCCGTGTTCCGTGTTTTCCTTCCGTGGTCCCAACTTTGGGCCCACATCAAAGAACTATAGAGAAACTTCGGCCCTTTTAACTGTCGCCCTATTTATATCATACTGATTTTCAGCTAAGTATCCAAGGCTTTAATCAATGCTGAAGTGGGAAATTTCATAGAAAATATGTGTCCTTCGCCAGGAATAGAAACTCTAACCTACACAGAATCGTCATATAGCCTGATGTGCTATACCTTTAAGTTACAGAGGAAGCGTCTTGTTAACAATGTCAAATTACTCTATTTAAACTACATATTTTCCATTATTTCCTCCGATGAAGTGGTCACGAGCTGCACTCTGAAAAAAAAAAAAACATGGCTTACGTTTTTTCCAGATCTACCCCTGATACGCTAAAAGCCATCGCTGAATATGAACATCAAGTTCTTGATAATAACGGCGAAGCACGAGCTGTGACTCTTGATATCTCGAAGGCGTTTGACAGTGTTTGCCACGCTGGTCTTCTTCGTAAGCTTCAGGGCTACGGTATTACCGGACGACTGTTTGATTTATTCCAATCGTTCCTATCAAATCGTGAAATGAAGGTCATTTTGAACGGATTCGCTTGCAGATACTTTCACACGAACGCAGGTGTCCCCCAAGGCTATATCCTGAGTCCAACGCTGTTCGATTCTCATCAATGATTTTCCTCATGTCATCAATTCCCTAATAGGTATTTATGCAGATGACACTACCAATTACTCCTGCCTCAATAGAGTTAACCTGGCCGCTACTCTTGTGGTTAATTGCAACAGGAAGTAACTTGTAGATTTTAATTCCTCCAAAGCAAAACCACTTTCATTCAACCATAATCGATACTATTTCCGGCCCGCCATCAGCATGACTGATGCTAAACTCATGGAAAGAAAAACAGAGAGGTTTCTTGGCTTTACGTTTTCAGTTAATTTGAAGTGGAAAGATTACATAAAATCAATAGCTGCATATACTGGAAGGAACATTGAGTCACTGTGTCGTGTCAGACGGTTTTTTTTTCTCGTCTGAGTCCATCTTGCACATTTACAAATTTACCATTTCTCCGTGCATTGAATACTGTTGCTCTATATGGTCCGGTGCTCCACTTACTCGTCTCGACATTCTTGACAAAATTTAAAGTAGTATCTGCAATGTAATCGATGCCGATTTGACATCTCATTTTCAAACACTTTCTCACCGACATGACGTGGCTACCGTCTGTCTTTTCTGCAAATATTTTCAACAACTCTGACGGAATCCCCCCCGGGTACCAGATCTACGTGAGTTTAAGTGTGTTACTAAGCAATTATCTAAGTTCCACTGCTCAATTAGTTAAATGTAACCGCCAATTCTACTCCCACAATGTCTTTTCTCGCACTCTCCCGCCCCTGGAAGTTTTTTCGGTTTTCTTGCTTCCATGATAACTACAATCTTCAGAAATTAAAATGTAACATCAATCGCCATTTTCTATCTTTTTGAACCCTGTTCAGCTTTTATCCTTTCCCCGGTTACTCTATAGCCAGTCTGTTCGTCCACCTCCAGCCTCTGTAAAATACCAGTGGCATTCCTGCCTTGCTTGGGGAGAAATGATTAAGGAATATATAGCAAAGTTTTAATTAATAAACAAAGTAAATTAATAAAATGCTCGCAAGGCAATGCAACTTGCGACGTGAAACATATCGGTTTACCTTCCATTCTACCTCATCAATAACGGATGCTACTTGCGTGTTGTGCTTTGTTTAACGATCAAAAGCAAACGTTGAAAATCTGTCATGCAGTTGCATAAGAATCGCATAGACTGACACGTCCACACGACAAAATAACTAGTCCAGTGATAAATGCTTCTGCTGGCGAAAGGGCGTGGCAGTGACGTTTTATCCACCGAACATTTATTATTACCTACTTTAGTAGGTGGCTGACGAGGGTAGGCTATCGCACGTGGTTTCATATGTTGTATGTAGAATATATATATATATATATAGATATATATATATAGATATGAATAGATAGATAGATAATAAATAGATAGATAGATAATATTAGTGATCAATATATAATATATATATATATATATATATATATATATATAATATTTTTTGTTTAAAATATGAGAATTTAATTTTAAACAAAAAATAATTAAAACAAAAAATATTATAATAAAGCTCTACTTCTGTATGGAGCACTGTCTTCTTAAAAAATAAAAACAAAAATACTAAGGAACCCCGGATTATGCACCCAACGTGTTCTTTTCTATTTTCTGCATATCTGCGCACTTATACATTTATATATATATATATATATATATATATATATATATATATATATATATATATATATATATAAATTTCAAGAGGAAAGAATCCAGGTAGAACTCAATGTCCAGGACAGAGCAAGAATATAATATAAACAAACACTAATATCCCATGGTTATAATTTATTACATTTGAATCGTAATCACGATCGAATTAATCAAACCTACAAATTCAGAAATTGAATTTGTAGCTCTGATGAATTGGATCGTGATCACGAGTCCAATGTAATAAATTATAGCCTAGGAATATTATTTAATTGATAGACCTAATAAATATATCCCTCCTTCTCTCTCTCTGCCCATCTCTTTATCTTTCTCTCTCCCCCTTCTCTCTCTCCATATATATATATATATATATATATATATATAATAAAATAAAATTAAATGTTCTGTCCGTATTATGATATATCTTTCCCTTTTCCGATTTTTCAAGTTCTGTTATAGTGAATATTTTATTGTCAGATCTGCTGACCATCAGATTTAATATTTGCTAATCTCAGAGTCGGGGCATAAAATTGAAAATTTTACTTTATTTGATATTTTCAATGCTTTCACTCTAAATGGATTAGTAAATTACAAAGTCTGTTTGCCTTAAAATATATCGGTAAACTGTTGGTTTTGGCGAAGCAAACATTTGTTACTATGAGATAGATAGATAGATAGATAGATAGATAGATAGATAGATAGATAGATAGATAACACAATGTAGTAAATAGATGATGAAAAAAAAATAAGAATCAGAAAAAAAATAAGAATCAGAATGAAAGAATTTTTTTTTTTTGAGAAAAGGAAATAATCCCAGAAAAAAATGGCTAATTCGACAGATTATTGAGAATTGATCTGGGAAACGTTTATTGTTGGGTCGGCCAAAAATGAATACATCTGCGAATGACAAGTAACAAGAAAGAGGGAAGAAAACATACGATCTGAAGATTGATTTTTAGAAAGACTGCATTCTTATCAAGCAGGAGTTTTAGTAATCTGACCAGAATATCAAAAATCTCCTAGATATTGTGTACAACAGTGCTTGACTGGATTGACTCAAAAAAAGGTCAATTTATAATGATATCACATAGCAAACTTTGTCGACCTTAAATAACACATTTAGGTTGATATGTCGTACAACAAACCAAACCAACTGATTGTATATTAATTCTTAGAGTAACTGCTAAACTAAGGAATAAATGATTGTGTTACCAGCATAGATACAGAGTTGAGGACTGATGACATCACGAAGGTTGTTTGTATCAATTAAGAACAACTTAGGACCAAGGATATACACCTGTAGGAGAACCTGTATTAATGCATAAACGATCTAGAAGATTGGCCATTCAAGACAACTTTCATTTCGTGGTTTGATAAAAAAGCCTATATCAGTCAGAAAATTCATTCCGAATTACCATAACCTTTCAATTTGCGAAGGAGACCTGCATGCAATCCCTGTCAAACATTTTCGAGCTTTACTATTCCGATCTAAAGTTTGGTAGACCTTTTTAAGCAATACTCGTTAATACATCAGTGGTTGACCTAGTGAAGGTAAAGTTTTATTGCTTGTCTAGATACTTTTATGTATTTTTTTACAATTATTACTTATACAATTAAAATATATATTTCGACTTCAAATAACCGATAAAATGTTGATAAACTTTAAAAAAGAATCAATCCCGCTGATGTTTTTTTAATCTATTTTCTATTCACAATATAACGAAAAAATAAGACGCTCATATAGAATCACAATTTAAATTTATATAATAGTTTAATATACTTGACACTATTGCTTGCAATGCACACGTTAGTCTGTTTGTAAACACACACATACAAGAATACACACACACATCAATATATATATATATATATATATATATATATATATATATATATATATATATATATATATATTTCTAACCAAGGTAATAAAGTCTCTAAGATACAAGGATTACTAACTGAGAAGGAATATGAAAAAAAATTTTCAGAAAATTTTACATTGCTTGGACTGTCATCCTCATCTTTGTTGCCATATTTATCACAACGTTTCTGCCGTTGTACGCTGCATCCTTCTTCAGGCAATTGGAATGTTGAACTGAACCCATTCTTTCGCTCGCAGAGGTTGACTGTTTTAGTTCCACGTGCCATGTCTAATGGATGTCAGTTATATCCTGTTAATTCCCCTCTCCGAGTTCTCCACCGCCGTAACCAGGTATTGAACTTACACTCTTTGAGTCCTGTCACTGGATCTAACTAATGCCTCTATCCACAGTGCAATGTATCCTTGAGGAAGTCTGTGTATGAAATAAAGGGTTCAGTTCGACATTTCAACCACCTGACGAAGTCCGGAGCGTACAACGGCCGAAACCTTGTGATAAATATGGCAGAAAAGATGAGGATGATAGTCCAAGCAATATATATCGTGTACATAATACCTCAGCCCAGAAATATAGACAGATATTGAAGAAAAATAGTATTAAGGAGAGAAAACAATAAGAAAATAGGAATTAAGAAGATAGAAGACAAGAACTGATATTTTTTGACGATCAATAAATTTTCTATTTATTAGGAAATCATGAAAGCACAAGAGAAGAAACAGTTAGCATAGAACTTACGGTCTCCATCTATCAATTTCAAGTGTAAAATGATGAGAACTTGCTGACAGTCCGGTACTGCGCTTAAATTTATAAATCCAAGGTACCAATTCGGAACGTTCATCAGAACAATTACAATAAGATTATTCATCGAAGATTATTGCGGCACTGGTAAAGTAACTGAAGCCGTGACGCCAGGTCAGGTCACACAATATTGCAGATTCTTCTTTGGATTTGATCATTTATCTTTAATGTAAACATATCACTTCATACAATCATCTAAAAGATACTAAAATCAAAAAAAAAAATAATCGAAATTCCAATAAAACAATATTGTTTACGAATTGGCTTGCCTACTTGAAGAAAGTCTCTTGAATATTATATCAGACATCATTACACAAATACAATTTTATCATGCCAGTTAACTTGCAATGTATCCGATAATAGCTATCATTATCAAACGCAATATAATTATCAATAATAGGAAAACAGTAGACCATATGAACGGCTAAAAATGGTTACAAAACTAGAAGCTTCTACCATAAAAACAATCAAATCAGCATCAATAAAATTTAATTCTGCCTAAGAAAAATTAAAAGCGGACAAAGAATCAACACAATAACACGAACACAAAGTGAATTTATAAGCAGTGAAACTCGGAAATTACAAAAGGAAAAACGTCTCCACATAGACGCGACATTATTAACCCAAATGAAACGTAGACAACATGGTTTTTGTTGATTCAGATTCAAAGATTAAGCTTCTTTGGGTTACTGATATTGAGAATAGTATCCGTTTTTGCCTATCACGGTAAACATTTATTCTATGGCAGTATGTTTCAACAACCATTTTTTAATTCCGGTGAGCCGGTAGAGTAACTAAATCTTTGGGGCGCATTTTCAATTCTAATAAGGAAAAATAGTCATGAAATATGAATATAGTAAAATAATAAAGAATTCTACTAAAATAAACATTTACTTTAAGTAGGTACCTCCACTAGGTCGCGTAAAAAAACCCTAAGTATGGAAAAACTGATTGGAGATACCTACTTTTAAGACAATACTTCTGCTCGGTGTGTCTAGCTTTTTAAAACCAAAGATTATTTAAATATAAAAATAATCTATGATTTTTTCTTCTTAGTTGGGGCTTACTTGCGTAGCTTTCAGGGCCTATTAATGCGCCCGGACACACCAGTTAAGAAGTGCTGAACTATGCTGTAATATTTTTTATGACACGCAGTGTAAATTTTCTGTTCGGGATAAATTATTAAATCCCCTCAACCTTGCATAAAACAATGATGCATAATGGCAAATTTTAAATTCAGAAGCATGGCATAACATATAATTATTAATTAAGGTATATGTGAGTAATTCTCGACTTGTCAAGAAGACTTATGATCTTATTTCTGGAAACTAGATTTTCATGGAACGAATGTTCGTTTTCAATTGATTCTGGAGAACTTCAAGTCTATAAATTATGTTTGTGTCAGCAGTAATCCGCCATTATGTGTGTGTCACAACGGCCCCGATATTTCTTCGTTATGCTAATATCGTTTGCTATGCTTGTCGCTTACGTCAACGAAGTTAGTGGGGAATTCAAAATGGTTATTGAGAAAATGAATTTTTTATTCGTATCTTGCATTCCAAAAGATGAAAGCTTTCAAGGAATATTTCCACCAGATTGTTCATAAATTTCATCCTTTACATTCCCAAGAAATTTTAATCAGAAGTCCAACGGATGCCTATAATCATTTCTCCGTGTCAGTCACGGTAATTTTGATATTTTCGTAATTAATATTCTTGTTTGTGTTAATTAAAACCCCCGGATTTTAATTTGGCATACCCTAATTCTCCATGTATAATACGCATTCATCCATAATTTGCACACCTGAAGTTGTGCTAAAAGTGTGGGAAAACGCTTCTACTCATGCATAATACGCACCCTTTGTTTGTTAATCAAACCCTATGAATTGAACCTCTTCACTTTCATTGCGACCAGTTTTTTTCTACTCATTTTAAAAAATGGTTTTAAACATAGAATAATATTATTCTATTTTAGTTTTATGATAATTTTTCTTTCATTTCACGGCAATATTTTAAATATTATTTGTAGCTGTGCATAATACGCAAACTTTATTTTGCTTATTATTTTTTAGAAAACAATGCGTAATATACATGAAGAATTGCAGTAACTCAGCATAGGAAATGTTGCGTATGAAGTATTTTTACAACGTTAATGACTCTTACGAATTGCTTCATCAGGTTTAGGCTGATATGAAACAGAAGAAGGATTATTTGGGGTTCTAATACTTGTTTGGTTTAGAGCAATATTTTCTCCGATAGTCGTCCATTTTATGCTTGGCCAAATTTTCTACGCCTAATTCATTTTATTTTTGCCAAACTATCCAACTAGCAGAGGAAACATGGATGATTTTTATCCACTCGTTTTTTAACAAATAAAAAGTTAGCCATTTTACATATTCACGCTAAGGATCCAGTTTTGTCTCTCAGATTTTAGTAAATCTAATCTAGATTCTCTGTCACCATATCCCGGTTTGGGATGTACAAATTCACCAACAATAATTACATCAAATAAATTTCTATTGGGGAAAAATACATACTTCCGTCGCCTCTCTGTACAATGCAAAAAAATATTATTTGAGTCATTTACTCGTGTAACTATTACTTTCAAGAATCCTAACACGTTATGAGGGAAGAAAAAAACATTATCAATTTCAATATAATGAAAACCGGTATTTTGCTCTCTTCAGAAATATGTTATTTTGAAGGAAATTCTTATATTTCAGCTTTCAATATAAAAATTTTGATAACTCAATAATAAACTGGAGACTAATTAGATAGGCTTAATTCTTGTATCATGTCATCTAGTGATACTATATGAAGTCTTCTATGCTCTGTCTAGGAGACATATATTGCTATCATGTTTTGATGTATCGCTATCACTTTCATCTCATAATCATGGCAGCTGTGTGAAAAAATCATTTTTGTCTATTATAGAATCTAATTTTATGGAACTGACACTTCGTTGAGTTTATTTATTATATACAGCGGTCCCCCTGAAGCGAAAATAAAAGTCAATTATAAGTCATCTTGTTGTTGCCATAATTGTACACTTGAATAAATATCGGATACATGGCTTGCTCACTGATACAGTACAAAGCATTTGACATGAACACTTAAAATATAATCTGAAACCTAATGTGGAATAAGATAAAATCAATCAGGGCACTTCACGTATATCCTTGAAGTTGGGGCCATTCTCATGATCTGTTGTGTTGTTTTCGTTCACTAATCCCGCCCACCTGCCTACATCACATGACAT